AATGGTGTATCTTTGGCTATGTGTATTTTCACCAAAAAAAAAGGTTGAGAAGTTAGAGGGTTGACATGTTGTGGGGTTGTTAACCAATGTCATAAAATAATATGTGTACCACTGTTTCATGAGAAACTATTTGTTCTGTAAGCCTTCATCTGAAGTACAATAAAAAAAAAAATTTACGAAGTTTTAGCCATGGTGTCTTTGAATATTTTTTGGGTCCCTTTCTTTCTCCTCTCCTGCTGGTACTCCCACTGTGCCTATGTGGCTGTGCTGCTATCTGCTCTATTTAACAGAACGTCACGGACATTTTCCACAACGTGTACTTCACATGGCTTCTAATGGCTGCGTAGGATTCCATCATAAATGACCTAGCTGATCCTGAGGCTGGACACCGGACATTTTTCTCTATTATAAACAGCACCACAGTAAATGACTTCTTCGGGTCTTTGTGCACTTACCTGGCTATATCTTTAGGATGGGTTTCTAAAGGCAGAATTGCAAAGTTTACGAATTCGCACATATTAACAGTTTGATGCAGTTTTTCAAGTTCCCCTTCAGAAACGATGTTCCCATTTCAATTCCTCAAGTGGCTGTATGTACCTATTTTCTGACGTTTGTAATCACTGGGCATTTTCTTGTTTGAACCGCCAAGCTTTTGGCTGCTATTAAGCACATAACCATTTGTGCCACCCAGTGACTCCATAATACTTATAATAAGTGAAAAAAAAAAAAAACTGGTGTTAAAATAAGTTTGAATACTATACCCACAGGAAAAAAAAGTTGAAAATACTAAGTTAGAAAATATAACCTATAAGGAAAAATACCATTTAAAAGAATTTGATTAAAAAATGAAGCACTCATTATAAAGCTAGACAAGTACAATATTTTGTTTTATAGAAAAGTGTGCTGTATTGTGTTGGATGAGAAATCTGATTCATGCAATTTTCCTGCCCACTAGCCTCAATTAATACCCTCTCCAAATAAAAATGAATGTCTGTTTTAATAAGAATGCAATGAATAATACTAATGATAATAGTATACGATGGACTCATTCAATATTATTTCCAGCAAACAGAATTATTTTCCTTCTAGAAGATGGTACATTACAAAGTACATGAACCTAAGGGTAATTTCTTAAGAGTTTAAGAACAAGAAAACCTATAAGGATGATGTATCACCTTTCAAGGCAACCCCAAAATGTTTTAATACCTTTGCTGATTGTCTCTCTCTCTCCACACACACACACACACACACACACACAGTCTGCTTTCTTTTACAAAGCGTGCTACCGCATTCATGTCCAGAAGGTCTTAGGGAGAAGCACAGCCTGGAATACAGTGACATCCCACCGTAACACTGCTTTGAAGGGGCCAGACTGACACCTCCCTTACAAAGAAAGGAGCCTTCAGTTGCACAATAGAACTTAGAATACCTTCCTCAGCCCTGGTGGCGCAGTGGTTAAGAGCCTGGCTGCTAACCAAAAGGTCGGCAGTCCGAGTCCACCAGCTGCTCACTGAAAACCCTATGGGTTCCACCCTCTGCAGTTCTACTCTGTCCTATAGGGTCACTATGAGTTGGAATCGAGTCGACGGCAACATGTTTTTTGTTTGTTTTTTTTTGTCACATAAAGATGTGAAGAGTTCCAAATTCCCCACCCAGAGCTTCCCAACCATGAGAGGGTGATAGAGGAGCCACAGAAAATTGATGGTTGGCAATTTTGGGGGGGTTAAAAATGGATTACTTCCCTTTTGTTGTTGTTGTTCTAATGATTCAAAGATTTTCTATAGTTGAAGAGAAAGTTAAATACTCCTTGTTGGGCTCCTCAGGGTTATTCTGTCAGCAGGAAAGACTCCTCCACAACATGGCAGCCAGGGGGTGCTCCAGGGGGCCAACAGCACGGCCCCCCTGCCCATGCTGTGGAGCCAGCCCAGGAGGTCCGGGAGGTCGGCTGGCCACCTCGTCATAGTGCTCCATCAGAAGAGCTCTTTGTTTTTTCTACACACGTGTCTTCAGTTCTTCTTCTTCATTTCATTAGCTTGGATTCACAATTTTTATGACAGAGGATTTGTTCAACTGTCATCATTATTGTCTTAATTATTATTGTTATACAAGCAAAGTGGGGCGACTATTTTCCCACCAAGCGTTCCAGTTTGCTCCAGCACGCTGCGTGAACGTTGCTGTTTTCTAACTATGCCTTGATACGAAAAGGGTTGGGAAGCACAGTGTGGAAGGGCTTCTCAGGCTGGGCAACAACCACCCTGCCCCCGTGGTTTAGAAAGACATGAAGGCACATGAGCTTGGCACACTCCTGGCAGGTACTATGGTGTTTAGGGGCGAGGGGTGGGCAGGGCGGCCCCACACAACAAATACTCGTCCGGCCCTAAATGCCCCAGCGACCCCACCGAGAACCAGTGTCTGAAGCCGACTTAGCTGCACTCACGGCAGCGGGGCCCTCATCTGTGGTTGGTGTTGTTATGTGTCATGAGTCGACTCCGACTCACAGTGACCCCATGCAACAGCGAAGAACTGTGCCTCACAGGGTTTTCCACGCTGTGATCTTTATGGGAGCAGATCACCCGGTCTTTCTCCCACAGATCCGCTGGGTGGGTCTGAACCACCAACCTTTCGGTTAGCAGCCAAGCACTTAACCACTGCACCACCAGAGCTCCTTTTGTCTGGGTGCTGGAGCAATATAAAGGAGAAGGGCTGAGCCACCATGCAGACCATCAGTGGGTGGTCCCTCTCACAGTGGTTTACCCAGCTCAGCAAGCTGTGCAGGTAAGGACCAGCCCAAACACAGTCTACTGAGGCAGACCTGAGGCAGAGGAGGTCCTGCTTTGTTTGCTAATGAGGCTATAGTTGGACTGTTTTAGGATCTCTTAGAGAGCAAGAATTCTGACTTCTCCACCAGGCAGAACACTCGAAGAATGTACATCCAATGTTAACTGTGGGTGAGGAATTACTCACACGCAATAACTTTTCATAATGACTATTTATGCCAAAATGAAATATGTCAGATAAAAGAGAGGAAAAAAAAAAAGATGTTACAGATTGAATTGTATCCCCCCAAAATGTGTGTCAACTTGGCTAGCTCATGATTCCCAGTATTGTGTGATTGTCCACCATTTTGTCATCTGATAAGATTTTCCTGTGTGTTGCAAATCCTAACCTCTATGATGTTAATGAGGCAGGAATAGAAGCAGTTATGTTAATGAGGCAGGACTCAATCTACAAGATTAGGTTGTATCTTGAGCCACTCTCTTTTGAGACATAAAAGAAAGAAGTGAGCAGAGAGACAGGGGACCTCCTACCACCAAGCAAGAAGAGCCAGGAGTACGCGTCCTTTGGACCCGGAGTCCCTGCGCTGAGAAGTTCCCAGACCAGGGGAAGATTGATGACAAGGACCTTCTCCCAGAGCTGACAGAGAGAGAAATCCTTCCCTGGGAGCTGGCACCCTAAATTCGAACTTCTAGCCTCCTAGACTGTGAGCGAATAAATCTGTTTTTTAAAGCCATCCACTTGTGGTATTTCTGTGACAGCAGCACTAGATGACTAAGACAAGACTGGTATTATATTGGTGACCTGTAAACCTCCCAAAGGATTGGCTTCCCTAGGCTTTTTGTTTCGAGGAATTCCATCCAAATGGTTTAAATTTTTATGTAATGAAGAATTAACTTTACTCAAAGAATTTGGCTGGCCTTTGTTCCCAGTTCCCGGGAGGTAACCTCCAAACCCTTGAAATTTCTCTAATGAGTAGAAATGACTGTTACTCATGGTGGGCCCCTCCAACCACACCTGGTGGTTTATGCTAATGAAGTGACTCCCAGGCCAAAAAGACCAACTATGTGATTAGAAGACTGGAGGTCTGAGCCAGGTGTTATCAGCTGGATCTCCAGCTCCTTGTCATCAATCTTCCCCTGGTCTGGGAGACAGAGTTCATTCACAAGGCAATGACTCCATCGATCATGCCTACTTAATGAAACCCCAGTAAAAGCTCTGGACAATGAAGCTCTGTGTCCAGCGATGTCCTGGGACAGTGACACACTTGGGCCCCGCCCAGACCTCGCCCTCTGCCTTTGGCTGGTCTAATCTGTATCCTTTTGCTGTAATGAAACTAATTGTAAGCATAGTACTTTCAGGGAGGGCTGAGAGCCATTTCAGCAAATTATCAAACCAAGGGGATAGTGGGAACTGTGGGTGTCTTGGTGTTATGGATTGAATTGTGTCCCTCAAAAATGCATGTTGACTTTGATTCCCAGTACTGTGTGGTTGTCCTCCACTCTGTGATCTGATGTGATTATCCTGTGTGTTGTAAATGCTACCCTCTATGATGTTAATGAGGCAGGATTAGAGGCAGTTATGTTAATAAGGCAGGACTCTATCTACAGATTAGGTTGTATCTTGAGCTGATCTCTTTTGAGATATAAAAGAGAATATTGAGCAGAGAGGAGAGGGACCTCATGCCACCAAGAAAGTAGTGTCAAGAGTAGAATGCGTCCATCGGACCCAGGATCGCTGTGCTGAGAAGCTCCTAGACCAGGGGAAGATTGATGACAAGGACCTTCCCCCAGAGCTGACAGAGAGAGAAAGCCTTCCCAGGGAGCCGGCACCCTGAATTCAGACTTCTAGCCTCCTAGACTGTGAGAGAATAAATTTCTGTTTGTTAAAGCCATCCACTTGAGGTATTTCTGTTACAGCAACACTAGATAACTAAGACAGCGGGGGATCCCTGAAGTGAGGACAGCCTTGAGGAGGACTGTACCCTCACCCTGTGAAGTCTGGCCTAATTCCAGGTAGTTGGGGGTCAGAAGCCATTAACAATGGTTGACTTGTATGAAATTCTCTTACACATTACCTGGCTTCTTCCAGAATTTTGCCCATCACATTGTTTTTTTCCCTCTGGTTAACATCTTCATTTAGATCAGTTCCACCAAAGATAACTCCAAAAGGAATTCCATGACCTACAAAAAGCACCATGATTACGAAACAGGATTTTTAGCTGCGGAAACCCTCACCAGCCAGTCCCAAAGCAGAGCTATTAAAAACTGAAGTGCCCAGAGCACAAGGGTGTGTTTTGTAGGTTTTTTGTTTGTTTGTTTGTGTGCTTGTTTGTTTTCTCTCTTAACTTAATCCAACTCTCCTGAAGAGTAGAATGGAAATCACTCCCATAAATATGATACTGAGATGAATCGTATGAGACACTGACATCCGTCATCAGGACTATTTTCCAATTAATTTGCTTAAATTGTAAGCATTACCAGTGTCATTTTTTTTCTTTGTATTTTTACACAGTTTCCAAATCACCTACTTATGTAGTTAAAAAAAAACAATAAAGGCTATAGTCAATTGAGGACTGGTAGAAGGACCAAGGGTTCATCCAGAGAGTGGAATAACACGCAGCCAGCTCATGGCGTGAGGCAGCTCTGTGCACAAGGGGATGGGAAGCACTCCACGACATGCCCCAAGTGAACAACTGCAGGGCAGAGGAGTAACTCTCTGTACTAACAATAATTCTAATGCTTTCTGTATGTTATCCTACTCAGAATCTTTCAAGAAGATAACCCTTAGTAATGAACGACAGCTTGTAAAAATGGTTTGGGGGTGGTGTCTGAACTCCTCTAACTTCACAAGGAGGAGGGAGAATCAAGATGAACAGTGCAAGGCTGACTCCCACGAGGTGGAAGCCAGACAAGCCTCCTCTCTCTGCCATCTTTACTAATTCTGACACCAACCGGCCCTCACACAGCACTCGCTACTTCTCTCCTGGGTTTGATAATTCATTGCAATGGCCACACAGAACTCACAGACCACACTCACAATTATGGGGTTTACTAGGGAAGTAACAGTTACAATTCAGGCTCACGATCACTCAGATACAGTTCTTCCATAAGGACAGCCTCTCCCCAGCTGTGCTCACAGGCACGCCTCTCCCTGGCCCTCAGTCTCTGCCCAGAGGCACTCAGCTTTCTCTCTCAGTGGGCCGGGAAGCCCACCACACTGTCTCCTGCTGCCAGGTCTTTGCTGTGGATCTCTCCTTCCTTGCTGGTGAGCTCTCCTCCCTGCTCTGAAATTGGCTCTCTTTTAAGGCAAAACTGACCAATCACCTTGGTGGGCCACAATTACGCTATCACACAATCACCTGGGTGGGAGTTACAAGAGCATGGCCAGAAAGGCCACATACATAAGTAATTTATCCACCGCACAGCTTGACTTCCATAAAGACAATTAGGAATATTCAAAAGTTTAACTAATTTTTCTAAGAATGGTGCAGCTTCAGTTCCTGACATTTGTCAGGTTGTGCAATAACTGATTTATCCCCCCTGTGCAACTGGTTTTTTCTGGAGAAGGCTTCTTGCCTGCTGCAACTCTTCAGAAGAGGCAAACCTAACTTGGGATGACTTTGTGCTTTTCCTCCTTTTATTTGAAACAGAGGTCAGGATGGTAAAAGAAAAAACTAACAACAGCAGTGATTTAACTAGAGCAAGGGGAAATGGGTCCTTGCCCATCTGTTAGGAGAAGTACGAGCTGAATTAAAGTTCTCTGGGGAGCAATCTGGCCCTGTTGGTAAAAATTACAAACACGTGTCCCTTTGGACCACAGGATTATATTCAGGTATCTTCACAGCAAGGTAAAGACACACATTCAAGGATACTCCAGCATTGCTTGAAACAGTAAAAATTCACGAGACTTAATAAGTATGGTGCTTTCTTTCAGTGGAATACCACACGGCCATTAAAAAGAATAAGGCAGATAAATGTATCTGCTGACATGGAAAGATTGCTTATGTAGTTGAATATATAAAACAATCCCATTTGTGGGAATATGAAAATATTCCACATATGCGTGGTGTGTGTGGTGTGTGTGTGTGTACGTGCATAAAACTTCTTTAAAAGAAAGAACAGATGTAACTTTATCAACAACACATCTCATGGGGAACAGAATTACCACGCTCAGCACTTCTTTCCTATGTGGGGGTCAACCTCAGGCTCTATTTGTGTCCCACTACACTTCAAGAGGATCCCAAGTCATAAGCTTGTTTGTCAGGAAGTACCTCTCTGGGAGCGATATTTTCAAACGCCACGCCCCCATTTACAGAAAACAATTCAGATGGTTCGGCAGAGTCGCAACAACATGGAAGTACAGATCCGTTCTCCCAAATTCATATGCTGACGTCTGAATAATGATAATCACCGCAACGATGGTAGTAGAATGAATTAAACATAAATATCTATTAATTGAAGACTGTTGTTGTTAGGTGCTGTTGAGTCAGTTCCGCCTCATAGCAACCCTATGGACAACAGAATGAGACACTGCCTGGTCCTGCGTCATCCTCACAATTGTTGCTATGCTTGGGGCCATTGCTGCAGCCAATGTGTCAATCCATCTCTTCGAGGATCTTCCTCTTTTTCGCTGACCCTCTACTTTACAAAGCATGATGTCCTTCTCCAGGGACTGATCCCTCCTGACAACATGTGCAAGCCATCCTTGCTTCTAAGGAGCATTCTGGTTGTACTTCTTCCAGACATATTTGTTCATTCTTTTGGCAGTCCATGGTATATTCAATATTCTTCTCCAACACCACAATTCAAAGGCGTCAATTCTTGTTTGATCTTCTTTACTCATCGTCCAGCTTCCACATGCATAAGAGGTGATTGAAAACACCATGGCTTGGGTCTGGTGCACCTTAGTCCTCGAGGTGCCATCTTTGCTTTTCAACACTTTAAAGAGGTCTTCGCAGCAGGTTTGCCCAACGCAATGCGTCTTTTGATTTCTTGACTGCTGCTTCCGTGGGTGTTGACGGTGGATCCAAGTAAAATGAAATCCTTGACAACTTCAATCTTTTCTCCATTTATCATGATGTTGCTTATTGGTCCAGTTGTGAGGATTTCTGTTTTCTTTATATTGAGGTGTAATCCATACTGAAGGCTGTGGTCTTTGATCTTCATCAGTAAGTGCTTCAAGTCCTCTTCCCTTTCAGCAAGCAAGGTTGTGTCATCTGCATAATGCAGGTTGGTAATGAGTCTTCCTCCAATCCTGATGCCCTGTTCTTCATACAGTCCAGCTTCTCGGATTATTTGCTCGGCATATAGACTGAATAGGTATAGTGAAAGGAGACAACTCTGATGCACACCTTTCCCGACTTTAAACTACACAGTATCCCCTTGTTTTGTTCAAATGACTGCCTCTTGACCTATGTACAGGTTCCTCATGGGCACAATTAAGTGTTCTAGAATTCCCATTCTCTGCAATGTTATCCATAATTTGTTATGATCCACACAGTCGAATGCCTTTGCATAGTTAATAAAACACAGGTAAATATCTTTCTGGTATTCTCTGCTTTCAACCAGGATCCATCTGCCATCAGCAATGATATCCCTGGTTCCACGTTCTCTTCTAAATCCAGCTGGAATTTCTGGCAGTTCCCTGTTGATATACTGCTGAAGCCACTTTTGAATGATCTTCAGCAAAATTTTGCTTGCTTGTGATATTAATGATATTGTTCGACAACTTTCACATTCAGTTGAATAACCTTTCTTGAGACTAGGAATAAATATGGATCTCTTCCAGCAGGTTGGCCAGGTAGCTGTCTTCCAAATTTCTTGGCATAGACAAGTGAGCACTTCCAGTGCTGCATCCATTTGTTGAAATATCTCAATTGGTATTCTGTCAATTCCCGGAGCCTTGTTTTTCACCAATGCCTTCAGTGCAGCTTGGACTTCTTCCTTCAGTACTATTGATTCCTGATCACATGTTACCTCCTGAAATGGTTGAACGTTGACTAATTCTTTTTGCTATAGTGACTCTGTGTACTCCTTCCATCTTCTTTTGATGCTTCTTCCTGCATCATTTAATATTTTCCCCGTAAAATCCTTTAGTATTGCAACTTGAGTCTTGAATTTTTTATCAATTTCTTTCAGCTCGAGAAACGCTGAGCGTGTTCTTCCCTTATGGTTTTCTATCTCTAGGTCTTTGCACATGTCATCATAATACTGTACTTTGTCTTCTCGAGCTGCCCTTTGAAATCTTCTGTTCAGCTTTTACTTCATAATTTTTTCCTTTTGCTTTAGCTACTCGACATTCAACCGCAAGTTTCAGAGTGTCTTCTGACATCCATTTTGGTCTTTTCTTTCTCTCCTGTCTTTTTAATGGCCTCTTGCTTTCTTCATGTATGATGTCCTTGATGTCATTCCACAACTTGTCTGGTCTTCGGTCATTAGTCTTCAGCGTATCAAATCTATCCTTGAGATGGTCTCTAAATTCAGGTGGGATATACTCAGGGTTGTACTTTAGTTCTCGTGGACTTGTTCTAATTTTCTTCAGTTTCAACCTGAACTTGCATATGAGTAAATGATGGTCTGATCCACAAATGGCCTCTGGCCTTGTTCGGACTGATGATATCGAGCTTTTCCATCGGCTCTTTCCACAGATGTAGTCGATTTGATTCCTGTGTATTCCTTCTGGCGAGGTCCACCTGTAGAGTCCCCGTTTATGCTGGTGAAAAAAGGTATTTACAAGGAAGATGTCCTCGGTCTTGCAAAACTCAATCACGCAATCTCCAGCATCGTTTCTACCACCAAGGCCATATTTTCCAACTACCGATCCTTCTTCTCTGTTTCCCTTTTGCATTCCAAGCACTAGTAATTATCAGGTTATCCAGACTGCATGTTCGATCAATTTCAGACTGCAGAAGTTGGTAAAAATCTTCAATGTCTTCATCTTTGGCCTTAGTGGTTGGTGCATAAATTTGAATAATTATAGTCATACAAATTTAAGTTAAATTCTGGCACTTCCATACCATGCAATACTGTGCAGCGATTGCACAGAAAGAGGTAGTCGATAAGCACTACTATGGAAAAGATCTCCTAGATGCGTCGTTAAGTGGTACGACGCAAGATGCTGAATATATGGCGTGATTCTGTTTGTGACTGTTCTTAAAGGGGAGGAGCTATACACCAATATACGGCTGGCTTTCCTGGCAGCCAGCATCTGAGACGGTCAGATCCTGGCGGTCATGCCCGTGGGGCCCCCTCCACACTGAACAGGACTGACCTAGGTAGCCAGTAGGATGTAGTGGAACTGACAGTGGATGACTTCTGAGGCTGAACCACCAAACACAAAGCAGCCCCTGGTTTGCTCGCTTTGGTTGCTCGCCAAGAGAGGCCGGCCGCCACGTCACAAGGACACACAAGCCAGCAACACCCACCGACCTGGCTGGCACGTGACTGAGCCCCGTGGCCCCGGGTCCTCCAGCAGCCCCAGTCAGGCCTCCAGATGACCGCAGCCCCAGCCACCATCTTGACTGCAACCCCCTGCACCAGAACTCCCCCAGGCCCCCTCCCTCACAGCTAAAGTGCTTCTGAATTCCTGACTCTCAGAAGCTACTGGATTATTCAACAAATGTATTGTTATTTAACCTACTAAATTCTGGGCAATTTGTTATGCAGTAACAGATAACTAATATCAACCAAAGTTATATAAAATATTTCTGGAAGAATACACAAGGAAATGGTAACACAGTTGTCTCTGGGGAGACAATGGGGTAAGAGGTGGGAGAAAGATTTACTTTGTGTTCTATAATGTTTAGCTATCTTTCACTCTAAGTTGTTGGGATTTTTTTTTTACCAAACCAAACCAAACTCATTGGCATCGAGTGGATTCCGACTCATAGCAGCCCTATAGGACAGAGCAGAACTGCCCCATAGGGTTTCCAAGGAGCGGCTGGTGGACTCGAACAGCTGACCTTTTGGTTAGCAGCCATAGCTCACCGTAGCTCTTAACCACCGCGCCACCAAGGCTTTTTTTTTTTTTTTTTTTTTTACCATGTCCATGTTAGATAATTTCTTAGGAGTATGTGACAGAACGTGCCTGTATATGAAGAGGGTCTCTAGAGAGAAATTACCTGTCTACAGTGCAGGAGGCAGGGAGAGAGCTGGGAGCATCAACGAGGTTTGACCCCGTGTGGAGAAACAGAAAGTCACCTCTAGCAAAAAACTTCTGAACATTTCAGAAGCCTGACACATTTTGCTGACTAAAATTTGATCATAGCGTGACGATTACTGGAGATAATTCTGGTCCTAAAATGACATACTTTCTCCTGAAATCTTATGGCCCAGTGGATACCAGGACCACGTCCTTTAACTCACGCTTGGAAAAAGCCACTCGTTTCTTAACTACAGTAAAAATACCTGCCCTTCCTTTTCTCTGTGGCGGCGGGGCTCTCGGGAAGCAAAACGGGCCTTGGGAGTGTCAGGAAAGATTAACCAAAACCCACAAACACGGCCAAGAGGATGACTGCCTGTGCTTTCAATGTCATATTGAAGCACTGTATAAAAGCTTCCCAAGGATTACTGAATTTTCTAAGAGGATGTACTATTGTTTGACTGCACTAACCAGCTGCCATCAAGTTGGTTCTCACTCATGGCGACCCCACGTGTCACGTGTGTCAGAGTAGAACTGTGTCCCATAAGGTTTTCAATGCCTGGTTTTTTCAGAAGTAGATCACCAGGACTTTCTTCTGAGGCGCCTTTGTGCAGACTCAAACCTCCAACCTTTCAGTTAGCAGCTAAGTGCGTTAACCATTTGCACCACCCAAGGACTTTGTGACTTTACTGCTGACTACTGATTAAGGGCCCAGGCCCTGTGAAGTCTCATTAAATAATTAGTAGCTTTGTGTCAGCAGAAATGTGAATCACTTCTGTCCAGGAGAAAAGACAACCCAAAGCTTACGTTTATAGCCCAAATGGGCATTAACTAGCATTGTAGCTCGCCTGGCAATCTTACTTCAACACTCTCAAACGCTCTTTGAACCGGATCTACCATATTAGTGGTTCGCTCTTTAATGAGTGGAATAAAATCTTTCATGTGTGTTTAACCTATATTTGAAAAGGAATCCTATTTTTAGCTTTTGAAAATTATACTTTGAGAGAAAAAATGTATCTTGAAAACATTCAGGATAAAACTCTTAGTGTAGTAAAAACAGCTTACATATAATCTATTCTCATTTGGGAAAGTTACATCATTTTAGAAAATTATTCACTAGGAAAAACACAAACAAACCAAAAGATCATTGTGTTCCTTCCACTTCTGAACCAGAATAAAAGGATGCCCTGTTTCACGTATGTTTATTTGATTTATAGGTGCTTCTGGTTTTCAGTATTTCTTGTTTTCACTTCTAAAGAGAAAGGGACTTACCTTGCAAAAGTCGGCCTCCTCTGTAGAGATGAAGAGCCAGGGCTGCCCCGAAGTTCTCAGTGGTGATCAGGTTTGCAATTTCAGATGAGCTTTCAAAGTCAAAGGCATCTTTCAGAATACATATGTGGCCGGCAGCTTCCAGATGGTCCCTGTATCAAAAATAGAAACAGGGAAAGAAAAAGACAGAAAATAAACATTAGTATTCCACAGGTTGCTGCTACAGTTAAGATTTTAAATAAAAAAAATATTCCACTGATAATACTTCTTTACTGAATTATCCATTACAGACGATCTGCCTTAAAACACACAACATGGATCAGAATACCATTCACCCGCAGGTCTCGGATGCCTGGGTCCGTGGCTGGCTAAGGCCATCCAACGAAGGGCTAATCTGGCATGATATGGCAGCCTTGGGACATGGTGGCTTTTTTTCTGCAGCATTTGCTGTACCACAGATGTCCTTCTCTGTTCCGTTGCTGCTTCTTCCTCCTGCCCTTCTGTTATGGATGGCACTCAGAGACTGCTGTTAGGCCTCTTCTACTCAGGCCTCAATAAAGCCTTCAAAAGTTACCTGCTCTCAGAGCTTTAAAAAATACATTAGAGCCTTCCCACTCTGCCTCCAAAATATCATTCAAACATGCCTCTTCTCTTTCTCCTCATCTTAACTCAGTTCCTTGTAGCATAAATCTAAAATACAGTTCTGGTAAACAAAAAAAAACTTTCTGAATGGCAACAATAGCACAGACAGAATCAAAACACCAATGAGAAACTGAAAAAGCTATTTACAACACTTACAAAAGGAAAGCAGCTAATCTGCTTCATATATAAAGAGTTCTTATAAATCAATAAAAAAAGACAGCCCAGAGAAATAGGGATAGGCATAAAACTGTAGCCCATAGAGAAGGAAATACAATGAGCTTTTAAGTTTAGGAAAAGATACTCAACATGAGTCATCTTTTTTTATGTAGAATATTTGTAAAGGTGAAATAGTCCGCCTAAAGGTTAAAGAAATAAACACACTTATGCATTATTTGTGAAAGGATAAATTGGCACAATCTCGTTGGTGGGCAATGCAGCAATAGCAAGCAAATTAAAAATGCATAAACTCTACGACCAAATAACTCCCATTTTTAGGAATTTAACCCAAAGATATACTTGGATATGTGTGTGAAAACATGCACTCAAGAACAGGCAGTACAGCTCTGTTTGAAGTAGCAAAAAAAATCTAACAATGACCTCAACATACATCAGGAGGGGCAAATCCACAGTTGTGTCGCCACTGACAGGATGCAATAGATCACTGTGAACTCCAAGACACAGTGTTAAGTGGGAAGAGAGCGCCTGATTTAATTCAATTTAACTAATAAATTCGCTGGGTACCTACTATGCCCTGCGAATTCTGGTTTATATGACCAAAGGCTTTTTTTTTTTTTTTTTTTGAGAAAGAGAGCATCTCCAACAAAGCAAGAGATTTTTGAGGATTTACCAGATAGTTCTAGAAAGAGATGATTTGTCTATCCCTGACTCCAAATTCAGTGACGACCTACCTGCTTCCACCTAGCTGACAGTCACCCCCTTTACTGGATGTCTTGTTCTTGTTGTTAGGGGCTGTCAAGTCGGTTCTGATTCATAGGGCCCTGTGTACAACAGAAGGAAACACTGCCCAGCCCCGCGCCATCCTCACAGTTGTTACGCTTGAGCCCATTGTTGCAGCCACTGTGTCAGTCCATCTCGTTGAGGGTCTTCCTCTTTTTCACTGACCCTCTACTTTACCAAGCATGATGTCCTTCTCCAGGGACCAGTCCCTCCTGATAACATGTCCAAAGTACATGAGATGAAGTCTCACCATCCTCACTTCTAAGGAATATTCTCATTGTTCTTCTTCCAAGACAGATCTGTTAGTTCTTCTGGTAGTCCATGGTATATCCAATATTCTTCGCCAACATCATAATTCAAAGGCGTCAATTCTTCTTCAGTCTTCCTTATTCATCGTCCAGCTTTCACATGCATATGAGGTGACTGAAAACACCAAGGCTTGGGTCAGGCACACCTTAGTCCTTAAAGGGACAGCTTTGCTTTTCAACACTTTAAAGAGGTCTTTTGCAGCAGATTTGCCCAGTGCAATTTATCTTTTGATTTCTTGATTGCTGCTTTCATGGGTGTTGATTGTGGATCCAAGTAAAATGAAATCCTTGACAACTTCAATCTTTTCTCCATTTATCATGATGTTGCTTATTGGTCCAGTTGTGAGGACTTTTGTTTTCTTTATGTTGAGGTGTAATCCATACTGAAGGCTGTGGTCTTTGATCTTCATCACTAAGTGCTCCAAGTCCTCTTTACTTTAAACAAGCAAGGTTGTGTCATCTGCGTACTGCAGGTTGTTAAATGAGTCTTTCTCCAATCCTGATACCACGTTCTTCTTCATATAGCTCAGCTTCTTGGGTTATTTGCTCCGCATACAGACTGAGTAAGTGTAATGGAGTATAATGAGTATATAATGGAGCCTAATCATTTGTGTGTTTATGTAAACTTTCATAAACTCTGATTTCTTAATTTAAAAAAAAAAAAGATTGAGCAACTTAAACAGTGCAGGCAATACCAAGGGCTTTCCTTTCCATATCCAACCCAGAAAAAGCAGCTGCCGTCGACTCCACCTCATGTCAACCCCACGTATGTCACAGTAGAACTGCGCTTCGTAGGGTTTACGATGGCTGCTTTCAGAAGTAGATCACTAGGCCTTTCTTCCAAGACGCTGCTGGGTAGGTTCAAACCGCCAACCTGTAGGTTAGTGGTGGAGCACAATCCCTCTGCGCCACCCAGAGACCTGTACTTACTGTAATCGTCATTAAATAACTGTTCTTATAATTGTATGTTTCTGTCTTTCGTGCTGGAAGGATAACACCTTCTTCCGAATGACCGGGCACCAGACCGCCATGGCTACAATGGTGCTTGGCGTCGGGCTGGGCTGCAGAAATCTCCGTGGCTGTGTGACATGTACTCAGCGGGCAGCAGGCCAGCCTGTCTGATCCCAGCCCTATCCACGGACCCGCTCAAGAAATGTTTGCTGAGTGAAGACATTAACTGACTTTCAATACCTATTACTTCAGTGGAAATAAAATGAAGCAGCCCTTCCCGTTGGCTTAGTATACATACCCAGTCTCCAGGAATCCTCTCAAGAAACACTACCCTTCCCCTACACACTTATTCTCTGTTCCTCCCAGAGGCCTGGCGACCCAGCTGAATTCAGAACTGCAGCACTTCCCTGCCAATATTGATTATGGCTTCTGCGGGCTCCTGTTATCTAAAGTGTCTCCTGTTCAACATGTTCCCAATGGGGAAAGAGAACAAACAGTCACCACCCCCCGCTCAAAGTCTACCCAGCGACCTGATGATACCTGCAATAACCCTCACGCCTGCGTCCCTGAGACCTGTGCTGAATTGGCCCTCAGAAGTCTCTACTCTGGACTGAAGACACCCAAACACCGTACCCCCTCATTTCCATCCATATGCATTCTGTACGATGGCAGGTCTCATTACAGCCACGCACCTCTGCCGTCACAGTAGTGTGAGAGAGGCTATAAACAATACGCAAACACACGTGCAGGCTGCGTCCCAACGGAAGTTCGTTTTCAAGAACCGGTGGGGGCTGGACTTGACCCACAAGCTCGTCCACCTTTAATTTAGAAGATTATTCAAGGTTTCATGGACCGGCCTCCTATTTTAGGGAGCATCACTTAAAACTGTGGGTTCCCATCACTTAATTATAAACCAATATTGCGTTTTTGTTTCTGCATGCATTGCTTGTGTAATTCATTTCTTCTCCACAGGTGAACTTAGGTGAACAAATGTCTTAGGCTAGGTTCTCCTGAGAAGCAAAACCAGTGAAGCATGTACGTGTGTGTGTGTGTGCGCATGTATATACATATGTATGTGTATGTATATATGCACAGAGTGAGAGAGATTTATCTCAAGGAAATGGCTCACACAATTGTAGAGTCTGGCAAGCCCCGAGTCTGTGAGTCGGACCTCAGGCTGGAGGCTTCTCCTGACCCACGCAGCTTCAGGAGCTGATGAACCCAAGATCGGCAGGTCAGACGGCAGGCCAGTGACTCACAGGCTGCAGAGGCCGAGGAATCCCAAGATGGGCAGGCAATGTGGCAGACTGCCGGCTCAAGTCCCAGGAATCGAGGTCAGATGATGACGAGCTGGATGCCCTCTGTTTCTGCTGTGTTTTAGCTTACCTGTTAGTTTTTGAACTGCTGAACTGCTTTTAGTTTGAATGTTACTATGAGACTGACTTAAGCCAGTCTGGTTCAATGAGGACCGTCCTGCTCTTCTGGAGAGTATTTAAAGCCTTGGGAGGCAGAGGTGGCTGGAGAACAGCATGTTCCCACCTCCAGCCTCAGCACCAGGTGGGGGGTGCCAGTGAAAGAAGTGCCCAGGCCAAATTCTGTCGAGCAGGACAGCAGGACCACATCTGTTCCTGTGGCTGGCAGGTACCCTCTCTGACTTTCACCTTCTGTGAAAGGTTCACTCAGTCTGGCTACACAAGACCCTGCTATGATAGCAAGACCAGTCCACCTGGCTGGGCCAGGTGACAGTGCTCCAGAAGGTGGGGGCCCCTCAGTGCTGCTCTGCAGGGAGACTCCCTGGATCCCTGCACTTCGCCCATGTCGTCTTTCTAGGAAAGCTCGTACCTTAAACACCATCAACTGTTTCTGAAGTCCCTCATGCTAAAGGACAAGACCTCTGAGGTAGATTTCTAACAGGCACAGTGTTTAGTAGACACCTCCAGAGCGTAGGTGCCTAATGAGGGTATTTTAAATGCTGATAGCCCTTAGGACATAAACTAAAGCTAACTCACACACCACACTATTTACACTGAAGTACATTTAAAGTCCCCCACTCATCTGTCACTGAGTTGTACTGCGGTGGCTTGCATGCTGCTGTGATGCTGGAAGCTATGCCATCAGTATTTCAAATACCAGCAGGGTCACCCATGGTGGACAGGTTTCAGTGGAGCTTCCAGGCTAAGACAGACTAGGAAGAAAGGCCTGGCAATGCCTTCTGAGAATTACCCAATCAAAACTGTATGGATCACTACAGAGTATTGTCCGATACAGGGCTGGAAGATGAGGCCTCTAGGTTGGAACGCAGTACACAACGGCCTCAACAAGGAACTCAAACATTCCAACGGTCAGAAGGATCGTGCAGAGCTAGGCAATGTTTTGTTCTGGTGTACATAAAGTCACCATGAGTCAGAACCAGCTCCACAGCAACGAACAACAATCCCACCCCAGAGTTTGTGCCTGTCATCAGTTTGCGAAGCCCAAAAGGTCTCCCTGACTCCCGACCTGGGATAGGTCTCCCACCTCCAAGCTTCCTCGGTGCCCCAACTTCCCTTATGCATACACTCAGCAGTTTAGCTATGTATACATCAGGTGTTAATTTACAAATTGGGGAGTGTAAGAATGGACCCATTTCTTCTTTTCTTTAAATCGTATCTAACTCAGAACCTCTACTCTGCGAGACTGATGGGAAATCCAATCTTATTCATCTGAGGGGTCCTCTCCCCCAGTACCCAGAGTCATCTGTAGATCCCAGAGGTCCTTAGCAGAGAATATGTGAGGAACCCTCTAATCCTCACTGCTTACTGTTGACTGGCTCACAGGAAATCTCTGTAACCATGGGGACTCCCCTCCTCCCACAGGACACTCAGAACCATTTCTTCAAGTTGCTTCACTTTCACAGAAATGAGACAAGAAGCTATCTTCAAGCAACTTCTGCTTTTTCCTCTCTTTCCTGCAGTGAGAGAAGGCACAGCTGGGGCTGAAGAGGATCGAGGCACAGACTGTAGTCCTTCTTCTGCTTCAGGTACAGCCAGGGAAACATCTATATTAGCATCTAACCAAGCGGCCCTGCTCTCTAGCTCAACACTGGCCTTCTCAGGCCTAACATCAGTGAGGACAGGATGCACCTGCCCCGTTTCCCTGAGCCCCACCACCCCCAGGCCTAGCAAGGCGGGCAGCACCAAAGCTGCACACAAAGGTGAGCAGTGGGATGGACAAAGAACAGATGAACTTAAGGACGGGAGCTGGCAAAGCTGTTTTCCTAGTTCGCCTCTGAGTCTGGACAAAAACAGCTGAGGTGCACCCCCAGCGGCCACCTGGGTGGGTGTGATATGGGCTCCCATCCATACTTCCACTGACGAGCTTCTCTAGCTTCTTAAGCACCGGCTCTTGTCCCTGCCACACGGGGCCTCACCTCCTCGCACGTGCCCCGAACTCACTCTATCCCAGTGACCTTGAACCTCCTCCTGTTGGTCAGGCAAGCTTCCTCCAGCCCCAGGACTAGAGTTCTCGCCATGACTTCCTTTTGGGGCCTTATCCAGCTCTCTGAGTAGTGGCCTTCTCTTGTCACTCAAGTCCAGGCTTGAAGGTCACCTCCTCGAAGAGGCCTAGGAGCCCCTGGGGGGTGCAAACAGCTAACACGCTCAGCTGCTGACCAAAAGGCTGAAGGTTCTAGTCCACCCAGAGGTACCTTGGAAGAAAGGCCTGGCAATCTACTTCCAAAACATCAGCCACTGAAAACCCTATGAAGCACAGTTCTGACTCACATGGGGTAGCCAGGAATCAGAAGTGACTTGAGGGCAACAGATCTGGTTTTGGTTTTCCTGGACCCCATTATCTAAAGCGGAACCCTGGACGGGACTGTGGTTAACAGCTTGGCTGCTAACCAGGAGGTCGGCAGTTCAAATCCACCAGCGGCTCCCTGGAAACCCTGTGGGGCAGTTCTACCCTGTCCTGTAGAGTCACTATGAGTCGGAATAGACTGGATGGCAACTGGTTTGGTTTATTATCTAAATCGGCCCCACTCACCACCACTCCTTCCACTAGTCTTATCTTGCCTCATTTTCTTAATAGCCGTAATCACTGTCTCAAGTGACCCCCTTTACATCTGTTTTCTCCTTAGCCTCTCCCCCACTGGAACTAGCTCCCGGCGAGGGGAGACCACTCTCTCCCTCACTGCCTGCCACCCAGTGAATGACCAGAACGTCACTGAATACGCCATAAGACAAACCTGTACCTCCAGCGAATTTCAGAAAACGGATTTCTCCACTGTGGTGATTTTCACCTATGCTCTTTAGGCGAACTCTAACATTTTCTAGCTGGACGGACTGCTAAAGTTTGGCATAAACCAGATTGTCCATCTCAGTGATGAGAAGCAGACCCACAGAGGGGAAGTCAACTGGGAAATTTCATGAAGCAAGTCAGTTTGCTTTAAAAAAAAAAACAAAAAACAAAAAACCCTGAGCTTCTTTTACGCTTCAGGCATTAACATAGGCAGCTGTGCATTCCTTACCCTGCTTAATTCTGACATCTAACTAATATAGATTGGGCCTCTATAAAAAGCAGGCAGGAGCCCAGGATTCTAGAAAACGAAGCCCCTCCTTGCCCTGAGGGGCTTACATTCCAGGGAGAAGACAATACCAAAAAAAAAAACCCAACCCTTTACCAGTGAGTCCATTTCAACTTATAGCGACCGTATAGGGCAGGGTGGGACTGCCCTACAGAGTTTCCCAAAGAGCCGCTGGTGGATTTGAACTGCTGACCTTTTAGTTAGCAGCCATAGCTCTTAACCACTGCACCACTAGGACTCTGAGCAGATAATAGATGAGTAAACAGACAATATAATTGCAGAAAAAAGATGAGTGTTAACAAGACAGGAAGATGGCAGGAGGGGAGGTGGGATACTTTAGATACCCACTTCAGGGAGCCCACCCAACTCACGGCGCCCCGCGTGTGTCACAGTAGAACTGTGCCCCAAAGAGTGGTCAGTGGCCGATTTTTCAGGAGATTGCCAGACTTTTCTTCTGAGGTGCCTTCAGTGGCATGGAACCTCCAACCCTTCACTTAGCATCTGAGAGCCACCCAGGCCATGAGTTGGAATCCACTCCCTAAGCAACTGGTCTATTTTTCTCTTCCACCGGTGACCTTGAATGTGGGCGCTTGCTTGGTCCAGGTGTGGTTCCCAGAACCGCCCAAGCCGGCCAGCCTCTCCCTTTAGGGCCTGTGAATACCGGCGCCAGGATGCCTGGGCTGAGGGCTCATCTCTCCACGCGCACACATCGCATCCCAGGCCAACCCCAGACGCCCTGGGCCCGCACCCAAGCTACTCAAAGTACCACGCCTGGTCCCCGCACCCCAGGCAGACCCTGCACCCCCTCCCCGGCTGGTCCCCACACTCCAGGGCTAGTAGTCCCGGCACGCCCCCAAGCTCCCAGGCCATCCTGCACCCCCAGGTTGGTCCCCGCACCCCTTTTCTCAGGCCTTTTCCATATCCCCGGACCATTGGCGCACCCCTCTGGCAGTCCCCATACCCCAGGCCGTTCTCGCATCCCCCACGTTGGTCCCTGCACCCGCTGCTGGTCCCCGCACATCCTCTTGGGGCTCTTCTCGAACCCCAGAGCATCTGCGCACCCCCCGAATCGTCCCCGTATCCCCGACCATCCCCGCTACTCCAGGCTGGTCCCCGCACCCCCTCTCTTGGGCCTTCCCGACACCCCTGACCATCCGTGCACCCCCGGAACGTCGCCGCATCACGGGCGCGCCCCCGGGCCGGGCGAGGATGCGCAGGCGGAGGATGCTGGCTGCCCGCCGCGCGCCCACCGGACCTACCGGACCCGTTCGGCGGTGACAGCGTTGCCCGTGTGCGGCCGCAGCACCGCCAGAAAGAGGAGCCGCATCGCGCCTGCAGCCTCCCGGCTGGGGACCTGGCCGCC